ATTGATTTATCAGTCTACTCAGGCTTTAGCAGAGCTCAGTAACACTGAGATTCATTACTGATCATCACATTGATTTATCAGTCTACTCAGGCTTTAGCAGAGCTCAGTAACACTGAGATTCATTACTGATCATCACATTGATTTATCAGTCTACTCAGGCTTTAGCAGAGCTCAGTAACACTGAGATTAATAACTAATCATCACATTGATTTATCAGTGGCAATACATACATACATACATATATATATATATATATATATATATATATATATATATATATATATATATATATATAATGCATGTATCTTTCACTTGCTAAAACATATAGCTGTGTTAGAGTGTGTATTTATTGTACTAAAATAGGTGTGACATTAAACCTGCATTAAACATTTTGAAGATATGAAAATTCAGACACCCTTAGTTGTATTTGCTTAATATCATAGCTCTACAGTTTATAAAACATCTCAGTTATTATGAGAATTAACAGAAAATTATCAATTATATCCCATTATAAGATGACATATTATTTATTGTTTTATACAATATAAAATGAAATAATATGTTTGATATTTCCATTAATTTCTATATGTTTTTAGCATAATCTTGAGAATTCTTTCTGAGAATCCACGTGTGTTATTTCACAAAGCATGCAGGCATATAATCAGAAAAAAGGCCTCTATCTGCATTTGTTTTTTAGGTTGATATAACACAGGCATAGCTATGTAGACTATTTGTCAGAAACATTTAAGAAAAACAGTAACACTTTATTTGTTCATATTACTTATTTTTTATATTCATATTACAGTACATAAACACTTCATAACATGTTCATGAATGATTAAATCAACATTTGTAACATTTGTAAACTATACATATTTTACATGATATTAATATGATATATTTTACATGATATTAATATGATATATTAATATGATAACTAGCTAGCTAGCTAGCAGGCTAATGCTAGCTTACACTAGCTATTAAAATGCTAATGTTAACATCACCTAGTTATCTACATGATTCAGTTAAGGCCCAAAGATTAATAGACCTTATGCGGCTCTTATTAAGAACATTCTTTTTTTTCGAGCTTAAAATAACTGATACCGATTTACCTTACTGTTTTGTAACCGTGCCAGTCAAGTTGAAGTAGTTAATGGGCCTAAATGAGCATTATTTATGACGCACAGCAGTGTGATGCAGAGTGATATGTCAAACAAGCTAGTCCCAAATGCAAGGTCCACTTAAAACACTCACTAACTCGTTTGGCTAGTGACGTGATCTATACCGGGGTTGGCAACCCAAGTGTCAGGAAGAGCCATTTTGTATGGCTGTAATATGTCTCAGTATGTGCTAATGTGCTGGTATAGGCTAAAAGTATATAAATGAAAGACTTACTTTGCTCTGCTTTAAGCTTTAGTTCAGCTCATCTCCACCACGAAACCTTCCCCAAAAGTGAAATAATTTCTTTTAAAATGTCTCTCAAGGTTTGATTTTTTACAATGCTGAAGGCTTCTCATTCACCAGCTTCTTGTTTGCATTTACCCGTTCCACCTTAAATGGCGCCTGAGGTGCCAGAATGTAACTACTGCAAGATTTAAGGTGGAACGGGACAATTCGAAAAAGAAGCTGGTGAACAAGAAGCTGATTTAAGCATCGCGACTTTTCAGTATTTGACAGTCTCTCGTTGCAGATTAAATATATTGGGAAACCAGCTGGAGTGATTATGTATGCAAATAAGTCCACTCGTATGCAAATTATCAATATTTGTCTTAAATCTTTCCCTTCGCTTTTTTGTTAGCTAACTTACTAGCTGGGCAGGACTGTTGACTGTTCTGCTGTGACCAGCAGTCTGCATGCCTGCAGGGTTAAAGGGTAAATTAGCAGATATAGGCTATATTAACTCCAGTGTTTAAGACCGTTTATTGTTGAAACTGTGTTGGACGATCAGCAGAGTTTTATTTCACTGTAAAGGAGGATTTTTAAGTCTTTTACCTACAAATCTAATTCTGCTGTGGAGCCTGCAGTAAAAGAGCTGCAAGCGGCTTCGGAGCCGATGTGTTGCCAACCTCTTAGTGTCATCACTTAACTGGGGAAAATATTGGTAAATGGTTAAGGACTTAGTAAACATCGATTAATACTAGGTTTTGTTTTGTTTCTGCTAAAATATTTTTCTATAATAAACCATTTCCTTGTGAAGACCAACATATGACCCAAATGTGAAAGTTGCCCAGGAGTAACAAGGCAGTGGGTTGTATTTTAATTTTTGTTTTAGGAAAGAATTGAAGATTTTAGCAAACACATCTGTATTTTGCAGTTCCATGTTCAGAAGAGTTTGACGTTTCCTGATTTGAGTTTGAGCAGCATGTTTAAGTGCCTGTTCTGAACAGTGGTCTTGCCAACAAAAAAGGACCTTCCTACTTGTGGTGTTTATTGACTCCTTTTCTCAGTCATTGGGTCTTGCTGCAAAGGTAAGGAAAATACTTGTAGATGTTTAATTGTAAATCATTATCACTATTTATACACTCTTAAAAATGCTATGAATCACTTATGAATGTTGCTTTGCATGTCACTTTACTATATGGTATATTAACAGCTCCTTAAAATGCTATGAATCACTTATAAATGTTGTCTTGCATGTCACTTTACTATATGGACAGAGAATAACTCATAAATATGCTATGAACAGTCAATGAGCTTAAAGTCTCAAACTTTGTGTGGTGGTGGGACAGGTCCATAATGCTTATCCATTCCATTCAATATCTATCCATGCATGTAACATGCACTTTAGTCAGGATAACGTGGCTTCCATCACTTTTGTGGTGAAGGCAAAGCAAGGCAAATTTATAAAGGACATTTCTTACAAATTTATCAGCACCCTGCGTGAGGAAAGTCAAAGAGTGACCACTCGATTGTACTTTGAAGTAATGAAAAAAAGGGATATCAGTGTGGCACATTTAACCTCAAAGTATCAGTTACACAGGATGACCAATGCACAGTTATACTTGTGCCTTCTGCCAAGCCGTAAGTGAGGAAGAACATCACTAAAAAAAACTTCCGAAGTAATTGAGATAACAGTGTTAGCATTTACCCCAAGAAAGTTAAACTTAGTTTAAATAACATTTTCAGAAAGAATAGCATAGTGCAAAATACAAATGCTTGAGAAAAAAAAATAAAATAAAAAAAGTTGAAAGTCTAGGCAAAAAGTGTCAAAGCACTTTCTGTCCAAAGTGATAAAGCCAGGTCGTTTTTATGCTGGCAGTCCAAAAATAAGGTATTTCACTGAAAATAATAAAGTTTTTCATAATAAAAAATAAAGACTTTTATTTTTTTGTTATGAAGTGTTTATGTAAGGTGATATAAATGTGTTATGTAGACACCCTTCAAATAAAGTGTTACCCATTTTTCTATCATCAAGGTACAAACTATATAAATGTACCCTTAACGCTAGAACAGTGGTTTTAAGGTCCAGCTGTGGACTTTAAATAAGTTTTTCCCAGGTGAAAAGTACGTATTTGTATGTTTTCATGACTTAATGTTTTAAAACAGAATAGTAAAAATAACGAGACGGGATGTGTGGAGTCAATACAAGGTGTTCCCTGGCTAAAGGTACTGAGATGTACCCTTAAGGGTACCACCCCAGTGACAACCGGTGTACTGCTCCAGTGACAGTTTACTACCTTTTTTTTCTGACAGTGTAGTTCACGTTTGAATCCATTACAGCTAAAAAGAGTTCAATAAAGCATAAAAAAGAGCTAAAACAACCTAAAGAAGTTTTCAATAAGTCAATTTGAGCCATACATTCTTTTTTTTTTAAATATATTTTAATTTTATGATATTTAATAAAAGCATGCAATTACATTTGCTTTAGAATGGGAGACACAAACCGACTCATTGAGGCTTGGTTAGTGCTTCTTAGCCTCTAATCAGTAAAAAACTAAGCTGCTCTTTAGAATATGGAACACATTTTGATGTATTAGTGATTATTAAACACTTACTAGCTCCAAAATAATGAACTAAAAAAATCGCCTCACTCTGCTTTGAGCCAAAAGGAACAAAATTAAACATTAATATGATGTGAATTTAGGTGATAATTCATGCCCAATAATTTGCATAAAAAAGTACAGTTGGTTGCAACGTTTGGGCGCCCCTGGTTGAAAGACATGTTTTATTGATTTTCTAAGTGAATTTAAATGAACACATCCTCTACAGAGAACACACACCTGCACCTTTAATGCACAATTACTGTTTATTTGCTTAATTTCAAAACAAAAAATTATGACAAATATGTTTTTTTGTTTGTTTGTTTGTTTGTTTGATCATTTGTTTTTTTTCTCAATAGGTTAAAAGAAAATGAACAAAACTTTGTATAGTAATTATATAATAATTTGCTCAGGGGACTCCAAACATTTACATATGACTGTATTATGTGTGATCATTATTACAACTAATAATGCATTTTAGGTCATAATGAACAAAACTTAATGCAGTGTGAATAAACTATTTAGATGTGTTTAACTGAACAAAGAACAAGAATTTAATAAACCCGGCATTTGTTTATATTAAAATAAAGTTTTGCTGACAGTTAAAGGCTCTGCTCTGCTGATGATGCTGTGCTGCTCTTAGATCTTGAGCAAAGCTATGAATTTATATGGCAAATGGATCTAAACATTATAACTATCTGTAGGTACTGTAGGTTGGAATACAGATTGTTAAACAAAAAAAAGCTCTACAGAGTAATTTGCATGTTCAGTTGTGAATCAGAAACCAGAAAAAACTGATTTGTCTCTGGTTGAAATTCGAACCACCAAATCTTTAGTGGAAAACGTAGTTTAAAGAATAAGTGCATAAAGAGTACCTGTCTGGTGGACCTCTCATTCACAGCCCCCTCCTGAACTTTCTCTGTAGAGGAGATAAAACTTCACCATCACTTCCAGATACAGTTTAATGAAGCAAAATTTATTAGGATTATCACCATTTTCTATTTTCTTTCTATCAAAATATTCAGCATTATCTCATAATGAACACTTACCACCAGCGCAGTGTTTAGATTTCCTCAGTTTGTGAATTAAAGTGGCTTCAGCGCAGATTACAGCCACACACACTGCTGAGAAAACTGCCAGAGTCAGCATTACCGGATATACTGTAAGACAGAAATTATAAACATACTGAATACAGGAATACAAAGTTCAAGCCTCAAAATCCATTCACCATCTAATCTTGTTAAGATGGAGTTTTTCCCCAGTTTATTTTATTACTGTTTAGCAAACTGGTTTATGTCCAAATAAAGAAGAATGCCATTTTTTCCACAGTTTTTTTGGATAATTAAACAAGACAATACAAAGTAGTTTGCTGTGAAATGGTGCATTGTTGAGAAACAATACTGAGTCAGAGTTGTTCATAGTGGTGGTGAAAGGAACCAGAAATCTGAAGCCTTTAACATCTCTAAAACACAGAAAACATGAATTAGTTTTTGTGTTTTGTTGTTGTGTTTGTTTTTATTTATCTAATTATTTGTATTTACACATTGTTTTTGACTGAATCCACGTAATGCTAGAGAAATACTTGCAGGGTGTTATAAGAAAAGATGCACAACCTCCCACCCCACCCAAAAATATATGTTTTTGAATTAAATTTTGCACAGCTCTCACAACCCCTGGTTCTTATTATCACGACTGCAACGAATTCTGAGTCAGCACTTTTCTTTACAATTCACCATTTTATATCAATCCACTCTGATTGACTTTGTTAACATCTCAAAAACTGAGTTACATTGAAATGTTCTAATTGATGGCAACAGTAAATAAACAGATAAAATATTAACATATATACACAAGTGACTAGTTATACAATGCAATACTTACTCAGTTCTCCTGCTGTTCCATTCCCAGTGACCGACTCTCCGGGAGAAACTGACCCCTGTACTGGAGTTTGGAGCACTGTTATGATTGACTGCCCTGGAAAATGTAATATATACAGTGGTAGAATAACACTGATATATCAGTATGATGACATTATAATAAAAGTAAAACAGTGAAATGGCACTGTGTCCATTATGCATCTAAAGTGTGACAGTGACATCTAATGGGTATTAAAAACTAAGCATCACTTTTACACTAGAATTGATATTATTAAGGTCAGCAGCAACAACGCATTTCAGAATGGCTTCACATAAGTGATTTTAAGAAATAAATAGATCTTACATGTTAAGAACACTGAAAACAATAAATTATTCATATTACCTGTGAGAGATAAGACTGTAGCATTAGAAAAGCTCATTGTTTTCTCTCCAGCCGCTGCACAGAAGTACACTCCTTCATCT